ATATTTGAGGTTATTCTCAGTCAAAATCAGTGGCGTACATAGCAACAAAACTATTATTTATAGTTAATGACCCACCTGTGGGTCATGCCGTCGTCAATGTGTTAAATGATAAGGTTAAACTGTCAAAAGTGTGTGAACAGCTGAGATTAATGTTTTCCATTTTGTTTTTGTTTTTGCAGAACCAAAGTTGATCCAGACAGCTCCGTCTCTGATCGCCGCCGCCTGCATTTGCTCAGCGTTCAGGGGGTTGAAGCTGTCGGCGCACCGGGAGACGACGCGCGACGTCTGTCTCATGTCGCGCGTGGACCCCGTCCATCTGGAGTCGCTCGTCCTCTTCGTCGATCAGATCGTCGAGAAGGTGGTGCCGCAGGCGCAGGCCGCCGCCGACGACGGTCGCCAGCAGACGGCCGGTTCGAAGCATCTGGACGGCGGCGTCGCCGAGTTCGAGAGCCCCACGTACGGCCAGCCGGAGACGCCGACGGAAGTCGAGAGCGTCTACTTCTGAGAGCGCACCCCGAAATCTCCCACACGAGCGACAACAAATTGAGCGCCTTTTGTTTTATATATTTGCAACAAAAAAACAAAAAACATTGATTGTTTTTATTTGACAGTTTGTTTGTTGCTCAGGAGACGCGCCTCAACTACGACTACTACTATTATTATTTAAATTTGTAGTTTTGTTTTCTTCATACCAAATATTTTATTGCATATATGTTATATGTATAAAAAAAAAAAAATATGTTAAAAACCAGCGCTGACTGGATTTCTGGAGCGTTTTCCGCGCGCGCGTATTTCATATTGAAATTTTTCGTTGTTCGGTTCTTGTAATAATCGTCGTGTGCTGTGCGCGTTCGATCGTCGAATTTTGTCCTCTCGTCCGCGTCGTTGATCTCAGTGTGCGTCCAGCAGGAATGTCCAGGAAAAAGAAAGAAAGAAATAAGAAACGGTGGAGGAGAGATGAACGAGAGGCGAAACCGGACTTGCATTACTTACATCTAGTTAGAGTATCTCTGCGTGTGCATCTACAAGGACTACTTAGCAAACTTAGTTTAATTAGGTAATATTTATTATTGATCTCACGCGATTTTTGTTTTATATATATATATATTCTACTAATTTCAATTATTCAAGCGTAATATTATATATATATGTATGTATATACAAAAAAAATACACCAACAAAATAACAAAAATACGTATTTTATATATATATAGTAAGCGGTGATTCTGTGATCTAACATTCCGATTTTTTTTTTTTTGTATTCGTGCGTAAACTTTTTCTACTTTTCTAACCAAAACAAATAATTTAAAACAAAACAAAAAAAATGGGCGATTCGGCCCGGATTCTCGACGCGTCTCTGTTCTGTTCTTCAATTGTTTCACATAAATCGAGCGGTTTGTTATCTAGTCTTTAATTATTTTTATTTTTTAATTTTATATGAAAAAAATATATATATATTGAAAAAAAAATATATTAACAATAAACATAGTCTAATCTAATCGATTAAGTAGCCTCTAAGTCTGTAACATAACCTTAACACATATATACAAGATGATGAAGAAGAAGATGGAAAACAAAAGGAAAAAAAAATGTCACCTGACTGTTTGTTATGAAACAGGTGACGACGGTTAAGAAGTTAGGAGGAGGAGGAAAAACAAAATAGAAACGAAAAAAAAAACTGCCAGTTGATGTTAATGTTGAGAAGAAGAAGATGAAAAAATAGAGAAGTGGATCTCCATGTGCCTTTTTGAACGGGGAATTAATGTTTAGTATTTATTATTATTACTACTACTACTTTCTACTATATTCTATATTAAAATGTACGTTTAAGTTTCCTTAATTCTGATAATATGACCACACATATTATCACTTTACTTTTCTCTCTTTGCCAAAGTGTATTTATACCGTGTGAATGTCGTTTTTGTTTGTTCGTTTTTTTATTTTTTTAATTATTATTATTACTTTTATTATTATGATATATATATTTTTTTTTGTATGTAATAATTTTCATTTTCGGTGCGCGAAAAAAAAAATGTGTAAAAATGTGTTGATTTTTTAAATAATTTTTGTGCTATTTGCGTAAAACTCTAGTGTTCTCCTTTTTTTTTTTTTGTTTCAATTGAAAATCGTGTGTACATATTTGAATAGAATCTTAGTACGTTTTTAGGGAGGTTATTAATATTTTTTTTTTTATTATTTCGTTTGTTTTTTTTTTCACTTGCGACAAATATTATGTAATTAAAAGAATGGAAAAAAAATACCAAAAAAAAATAAATAATTAAAATATTTACAATAAATATGCAAAATACAAAAATATACAATAACGATTTTTTTTTAAATGAAAGTTTTTTTCTTTTTTTCACCATTTCCTCTTCTATTTCCTGACACACACACACACGCCACCTACGATGATTTCCTCTCGACATTTTGATAATAATGGCCGTGCGGATTTTATTGGTTGCAGCGAAACAATTCCTTCGTGATAATAACCAGTTTTACGATTGCAAAATTGTAAAATGAAACTCGCTGATATGAAATGCACTGCGAAAAATAAACAGATTTCATTTTATTTACTTCATTTTCTTCCTGCTCTCAACAACTGTCATTTTTTACTTGTGTCAAAGTTAAGAACAAAATATTTGTTGTGTCATTTATTTCATTCGTGGTTAGCGACATCACTTTATGACGTATGTCAGTGTCAAATTGACAGTTGACCGCATTTTATAATGTAATACGATGTGTATAATGTAGTCTTAATATTTACAGAAAAAAAAAGGGAACTATAAGTCTAAATGTTAGTTTGTTAGATCGTCAAGGGTGCAGGTAATTTCAACAATGCACTCGAAATGGGTTTAAGTGAACGGAAAAAGGTGTAGCCGCACTTCAGAATGGGAAAAAAGGTTCTTTCTGTTGTTGTTGTTGCAAAGCTGTGTATAATTAGATTAATTCAATGGGAAATTTGATTTGAATTGACGGTTTTCTGGAGCGAGCGAGAGTTACGCAACAAAATTCTTCACTCTCTCCTCTCTTGGTGAGCAGCGTTCATATTATAATGAAGCGGCATTATGATCTGCATTTACTACTATCCCGACTGAACCCTCCATCCAAGTAAGGACTAGTAGTCCTAGTTAGTCCAGGTGCATATTTCTGGTCTAGTTCAGAGCACCGGATCGACCTGTTTCTTCATTCCTTTCATTTTCTTCTCGCTCGATACTTTCGCCAACTTTGGTCCTTCTCTTTCTCTATTTGGTTGGGATCAAAAGAAAATAGTTTTCTGATACTAACAATGAAACACAATAAGCGCGCTACAAACTAGCAGCAGCAGCAGCAACAGCAGCGTGATCCACCACCCGTACAGGGGTCGACCCCCTTTCGTTATATTTCAATACTTTCCTTCTGTTATTTCATTCCTTTTTACCATTTTACCACCGTCTAATTTATCTGCTTCCATTTAGACTTAAATCTTTACATTTTGCTTTGTTTCTTGCAAACTAGAAACGCCACTAAGATATTTAAACATTTTCATTAAAGCTAAAACTATAGGGAATTCAACTAGCCCACTTGGATATTTGTGGTATTTATACTTTTCCCATAATTCGCTGTCAAAATTGAACAAATTCATTTTTTTAAAAAAGCAGTATATTCACATTTTGCTATGTTTCTCACAAATTAGAAATACCACAATGATAATTGATTATGCGAATTAAAGCTAAAACTATAGAGAACAAAATGAGTTAATTTGGAGATTTGTGGTATTTATACTGTTCCCATAATTCACTAACAAAGTTGAAGTAATTAAATTTTAAGCTTCTACAAAGCAGTGTCTACACATTTTGCTAATTATCTTGAAAATTGAATATAGCACAAAGGTGATTGTATATACTAATTAAAGCTAAAACTATAAGGAATCAAATAAGTTTAATTTGATATTTGTGGTTTTTATACTTTTCCTTTAATTCACTATCAAAATTTAAACTTTAAAAAAAACTGTGTATTCATATTTTGCTACGTTTCTCGCAAATTATGAATATCACAATGATAATTGAATATGCGAATTAAAGCTAAAACTATAGGGAAAAAAAATAGTTTAATTGCAAATATGTAGTATTTATAGTTTTCTTGTAATTAATTGTGAAAATTGAACTAATTAAATTTTAAGCTTCTACAAAGCAGTGTATACATTTTTGCTATTTATCTTGAAAATTGGATATAGCATAAAGCTGATTGTATATACTAATTAAAGCTAAAACTATAAGGAATCAAATAAGTTTAATTCGATATTTGTGGTTTTTATATTTTTCCTTTAATTCACTGTCAAAATTGAACTTATTCAACCTTAAACATTGAAAAAGCTGTGTCTTCACATTTTGCTACATTTCTCGCAAATTAGGAATATCACAATGATAATTGAATATACGAATTAAAGCTAAAACTATAGGGAAAAAAAGTAGTCTAATTGCAAATATGTAGTATTTATAGTTTTCTTGTAATTAATTGTGAAAATTTAACTAATTAAATTTTAAGCTTCTACAAAACAATGTCTACACATTTTGCTAATTATCTTGAAAATTGTATATAGCATAAAGCTGATTGTATATACTAATTAAAGCTAAAACTATAAGGAATCAAATAAGTTTAATTTGATATTTGTGGTTTTTATACTTTTCCATTAATTCACTATCAAAATTGAACTTTGAAAAGGCTGTGTATTCACATTTTGCTACGTTTCTCGCAAATTATGAATATCTCAATGATAATTGAATATGCGAATTAAAGCTAAAACTATAGGGAAAGAATATAGTCTAATTGTAAATTGGTAGTATTTGTAGTTTTTCTGCAATTAATTGTGAAAATTGAACTAATTAAATTTTAATCTTCGAAAAAGCAGTCAGTACCTTCAAAATTTGCTTAGTTTCTCTTAAACTAAAAATACTAAAATGATAATTGATTTTGCGAATTAAAGCTAAAACTATATGGAATCAAATAAGTTTAATTGGAAATTTGTGGTATTTACACTTTTCCCATAATGCACTAACAAAGTTGAACTAATTAAGTTTTAAACGCAGTGTCTTCGCATTTTGCTATATTTGTCGCAAATTAGAAATACCACGAAGCTAATTGAATGAACTAATTAAAGCTAAAACTATAAGGAATAAAATAAGTTTAAATCGATATTTGTGGTTTTTATACTTTTCCTGTAATTCACTATCAAAATTGAACTTATTAAAAATTAAACTTTGAAAAAGCTATGTCTTCACATTTTGCTACGTTTCTCGCAAATTAGGAATATCACAATGATAATTGAATATGCAAATTGAAGCTAAAACTATAAGGAATCAAATAAGTTTAATTCGATATTTGTGGTATATATACTTTCCCTGTAATTCACTATCAAAGTTAATGATTTTTTAAAAATTAGTCTCTGCACATTTTACACTATTTCTCTAAAACTACAAATACCACATACAATCTAAAACATGCAAATTAAAGTTAAAATATCATTGGTCTTAAATGCTATCGATTCGTATACTATTCTTCATTCCAAACAATTAAAATCCGCATTTCTGCAAATGGAGAAATGGAGAGAAAAAGAAAAAAAAGGCGATAATCGCGCGCCGTACAAATATCGCAGGTTTCCCTTTAATTTTTAAATCACGCCTCGTAAATTCCGCCGTTCCTTGCCATTCGTAAACGTGCCTCGGTCTCCCTCCAATGGAAATGACCGAGTTCAATGCATTTATTCAGCCAACAACAACAGCAACAACAAAAAATAAAGAACTGTAAACACCACAAACGATATTAAAACTACGACTTAAAGTCGCAATTTCCAAACTAAAATTCGAATATTTCTTACAATTTTTCCTTACAATGTGTTTCGTTTACTCATGATTTTTGTGCATTCCTCGAAAGCCGCGAATTCCATGAACAATTATGCAAAAGTATATTTAAAAGTGTAAGCAATAAATAACATACGGACACTTAATCGTGACGTTTAATGGATTTTGAGCATTTTTTTTAAGTGTTTCGTGAAACGTTTAAATTCCACATAAAATATCGAATGTGTAAATTAAACTGTAGGGAACAATATTGTATATAAATAGAAAATCGTGACATTTATAGTTTTCGCGTAAATCATGGTTAAATCAAATTGTAAGCAGAATTTTTAATATTTCTCAAAAACTATATGAGATAAAATGTATCCGAAAGATGCATACGAAACTTGGATATTTGAGGAATGCAGCCAGTATGTACACGTTGCTGTGCTATCATAGGTTTGGCTGTAATTCGAAAAATGCACTCGAAAAAGTAATGTCTTCACATTTTAGTGATTTTTTCAAAAACTACAATAGATAGAATGGATTGAAAAGATGTATTTGAAAGTTGAATAATTGGGGAAGGTAGTTAGTATTCAAATATTGCTAAGGTTTTGTCCATTTAGTCCAAAATTAAAGTAATGATAATTAACGTTCGAAAAAGTAATGTCTTCACATTTTATTGATTTTCTCAAATACTATAATAGATAGAATTGATCCAAAAGTTGTATATGAAAGCTGGATTCTTGAGAAATGTAGGTAGAATTTATACATTGATGTGGTTTCATCCATTTAATGGGCATCATAATGAGAAACTCTACCACACGACTCTGTTAACTACACACATCAAAACTAAGTCTACAGACAATTAAGTTTGTGGTGTACATTTAAGTTTTAGCTACGAAACACTTCAATTACTAAATATTCTTTATTTGAATGAAAATAATCGAAAGATATGGAAATAACGCCGGATACCTGAACAAACAAAAACAATCTTGTTATCATTTTGTCATGGAAACGGAATATTTGTATTTATTATATTGCATAACAACTTGTGAACTTTTTGACAATTCTACACATTTTTAACGTCGAGAACAAAAAAATAAAATGAAACTTTTCTTATTGAAATCGTTTGTGATGCAATGGTTGCTTGTTTTTAGATGAAAGAGACTAAAATAGTTTTTTTTTTTTTAAGTATTTCGTAGGAAAGTTCGTTGGTTTCGGATGCAGTGAGAGAAAAAGACGGTTAATTTCTATTTTTAATGCGCGTTATCAGCGGAGAGACCACCTTTCTCTCGGTTTCCGGTTCCCTCCGACGAAAATAATTCGAAATAAATAATTATGCGCACGACCCTGCGGGCCTTATCACAACGAGAAACGAAACAAAACAACAACCCAAACAAACGAAACAAATAAATAAATAAAAGACGATCGAAAAGAAGAAAACACGATTTTTTTTTTGATCTTAAGCGTATGGAAATGTTACGGTTATTGTTTCCCATAGAGCGCCGAACGTCGGGGCTAATTACCCCCATTCTCTTCTCCCCCAACAATACTTAACGTATCCGTCGTTTCCATATAAACCAATTAAATCGTCAATTTCACTGATTAATTCAAGTGTCTTGAAGCAACAACACGGAAACTAATGTTGTTTGTTTTCTTAATTTCTATTCTCTCTTCTTTTTTTTTCCGCTTCTTTCTTTTGTTTTCATTTCGTTCGGTCATGGCCCCCCCGAAAGATGAAAAATAACTCACTCACGCACGAAATAAATCTCAATCAAGTAGAGGAATTAATTACATACAAAGAAAGTAGGAGGAAATTGGACTTGATGATTAATATTAGCGTGTGTACTTTCTTTTCGAGCTCTTTTAATTAATTAATATCAATTTAACTTTTTAACTTTAACTCAAATGTATTTCAAATTAATGTAAAGGAATTGTTCGATCACTGCAGTTTTAGTTAAGATTAATTTATTTAATTATAGTTATGTAATTATTTAATTATGCAAACTAGATAATAGAAATAGTTAAGTCGTAGGCAACCAAATGTGCATATGCACAGATTGTTAACTGGCGTTAATTGATTAATAATTAAACATGGAATTCGATTGAATTGATTGGTTGATTTAAATAATTGATGTGATATTGTTTTTGGTAAATGTACCATCCTGGTACTGACGTATGTGACAGCTGTTAAAGTGACATTGACAGGAGATGTCAAATCGGGGGTTTGTTAGTTATTTGTTGTTGAGGAAGTGTGTCGTTGTATGTTTTCGTTTAGGTTTTTAGTTGAAGCCCGTTTGATGTGAGAAGGAGCGGATTCGGTGAAGCGAAAGTAACACGATCGTAATAAGAATGTCTCTGAACATCCAGCAGATAATAACAGATGCCAAGGAGCTGGCTGGGCGTCTGAAGGAGCGCAACTGTTTCGCGGATATGCTGCTAAACGATACGCACGGAATCAGAAAAAAGATTGATGCCATGAAACAGGTAATTGATTCGCAATCCGATTGAAGGTACAATGATTAATTTGTTGTTGTTGTTATTGTTTTAGTACAAGGATGAGGTTGATGAGCTTAATGTGCTGGCTCATCAGAAGCCGCACACCTCTCTTGTGGCTTATATACATATGGAGAATCGCAACCTGATGGAGATCAAGGTGGAGAATATTGAGCTGCGGAACGCGCTCGAGGAACATCAGATTGCATTGGAGCACATCATGACCAAATACAGATTGCACACCAATCAGCAGATTTACAGGTCGACCATTGATTTCTCATTGCTGAACGATCAGAAGTACAATGAGATCATCAGGGATCAGGCGGAGAAGATCAAAGAGATGGCCGCGATCATGGAGAAGGCAGCCTCCATGGACGACGACAAAACTTACCAAGACGGTGAACTAATATCAATGCTGAAAGCTGAAAACAAGGTACTAAGAAATAACACTTTCAGTTCTTATTTAATTAGCAGATTAACTCGGTTTCAATCTTCGCAGGGATTACGCGAGATGCTGGACATCTCCTGCAAATTCGGATCGTTAGGTAAACTGTCCGCTCCGACAACGGAGGACAAGAACATACAGACCGAGCAGCCGAATCCGATCTGAATCGGTTTCCTTCTATTTATTAATAAACACACAAACACATGCCCCACGTTAACCAATTTTTCAAGAAGAAAAGAGCACTATATATATATTATATATATCATTCGTTAACTTATATGTATACCTAATACTGTTTTCATTTATTTTTTAACGTATTTATGAAACGTTCGTTTCTCTCTCTTTTTTTAAATTCAACTTAGTGATTGTTTGTTTCTTTTAGAGGATGCTCAGGATTCATATTTCGATTTCATCATTACATTTTATTTTTTTTTTGTGAAGCAGTAGATTTCATTTGTCTTCTCGCTCTGTTTGTTTTTGTTGACTTCGCGGTTCGCGCGAGGTTTATCTCCATTTATCCGTTGAATTTCGCTGTGATCAGAAATCTCTGTGCCCATATACATACATTTATATTGTACACATACTCGTCGATGTTTTTTTTCTTGTTTTATATAAAAACCTGAAAACTAATAAAAATTTATATATCGTAAAACAATGATCATTTTACCTTTAATTTAAAAATAATAATTTGTGATCTTTTGTTTAAAGCTTTTAATTACCAATAGGATGTGTCGAATAGACTATAAAACTGTGATTGTGATGATCTGATTGGCTGAACTAGACGAAAGTAGGAGTGGCCATAATGTATGCAACATATCGAACATTAAAATGTATATTGAGTTATCAAAAAATGTATCCGCTTTTAGAGAAATTCAGAGCATTATGTACATTTTAAAAACTCGAATTCTGTGGTTGTATCAGATTTACGTAATTTTGGTAATAAATAATTGGTCAATCAATATAAATGAACTATATTGAATACACAGTTACAAACAAGCAACCACATATACTTATATATTAAAAAAAAATCTATATTTAAAATTATTGCAAGTATAAAAACGCATCCAAAGTGTTAAGTTGAGGCAGCGTATATATCACAGAACAAAGGTAACGTGTATTTGGTAAATTGTAGAGATCGGTGCGATTGGATTAGAAAATACTGTAGAAAACGAAAAGGAAAACGAAAAGAACGTGTAAAGAAAAAATATATTCTTTTCTCAAAAACGAAAAAACATAAATTACAATCACATCCTCGAGGTGGTGTACTCTACGGGGAATTTGAATGAGTGCGAACCGTGCGCGAAGATGTTCGGAAGGAAGCCGGCATTCGGGATGATGTTCCACGACAGCGTCAACGTAATGTTCTTGTTACCCCTGGAAACGATCCATTAGTTAAAAACAATTGCATAAAATTAAAAGTACTGTATAGTGTGCTCACTTCAGACCGTTGCCATCGTCCCAGAAGTAATACTTGGTGTTGGCGTTCTTGAAGTCCAGAACGGCGTTTTCGCCGCGAAGTATGATCTTATCCCAAAGTACAACCTACAAGTAATCAATTATATATTTTTTTAAATGTACAAGTATGAGTGGAACGGATGAAACGTACTTGGTTCAGTTTGTTGTTGGCTGTTTCGTATTCGGCTGTTAAATAGAGGAACAGTTGTTTGACATTCCAATTGAACAAATGGGTGAGATCCGTCTGCAGATCGAAGGTGAGGAAACCCAGGTCGTTCTTCTCCCTGGAGGCACTGTAGTCTGGCACGTTTTTACTGGAAATAACAGCCGATATTATTAGTGGTTTGGAGCGGGCGATTGCAGGATTCGACTCACACAACAACATTCACCGTTCGCATGTCCGCTTGAGTGCGGTAGTTCAGGAATACGGTGGAGGCGAAACACACGAAAGTAAGGCATGCGAGCACGCTGAGAGCGTACGCGAAGATCGCGTTGCCCCTCTGCAACACGGAATGCATCTCTGAATGCACTTTTAAGTCAGAAAACAGCTCGAAACCGATAAACGAAAACACTGCAAGCTGCGACGCTGACACTGACACACACAAGATACACGTCAGAAATAGTGACTGTCAGCTGTCACCAGCAGTAGCGGTGACAGGTGTTACAGGTCTACCAACCTGAATCGCGTTGTCGGTGACGAGCGGTGAATTTCTGCGAATTTCCACCCTCTCCTGTGCAACGGCAAGGGTTGCGGCGACGTTGTGAGAATGTAAATTTTTTTTCCACCGGTCGCCGGCTCGACCAATGGCTAAACGGTTTCGCTTTGGCAACGTTGAAATTTGACAGTACTTAAAATAACATATGTCAAATATGTATCATTTATTTGCGTTATTTTGTTGGAGAGTTAACGAGCGCATATCTCGACTACGTTGTGTATAACAACAACGTTACTGCAATCGTAGAACCACGATCGTTGTTGCAGCTGACGGAGACGGAAGTTTGCGGGCAGGAAAGGAGCGACGACGACGAGTGTCCTTTGCGCGGGGCCACGAAGAAGCGCGCTGGACGACAATCATCACCGCTGTAACAATTGAAAGGTAACCATGATCTGCTATTTTCTTTTACACTTTTACATTCAACTGTCATTATTATATATATATATCTCTGTATATCTATATATATATATATATATTCACATCATCTTCTCTGTCCGTTCAAAATGCATTATTGGACCATGTCCATCATCGGCATAGACTTCACCTTTTCTACTGATCAACTGCAAATTGGCAATGCACCCGGTGCACTTGTTGTGAAAATCCCAGACACTCATGCCAAGTCCTTTGTTTTCTTTGACCTGTGCTACGGAGTTATAACCTTGTTCACACATACACATATTTCTTTTTTTTTTTTTGTTTCAAAATGAGCAAAGATTTTTTTTTTCATTTGCACTAAGTCAATTTGCATGACACTGTGATTTGTGCAGTGTTTTTTTTTTTGATGTGAGGCACTCGTGGAGGGATGCTCTGAGCGTATCACACCCCAAAAATAGCACAGGCCAGGTTATTTTCGTCTCTCAGGCTACAGAGGGAATCTTAGGTTATGGCCTGTCTCTAAAAATACATGCACCATCCCCCTCAGAAACATCTCTGACAACAAACGTTCTTCGCTAATGCCAATTATATCAAATTTGTCATTCGACTATAAATAATCTATTGTTAATTCGTTTGGTCTGCCCACTGTTTACTTATTATTTTTTTTTACTTCCTTAATTCAGTCATCCCGCTTGAATTGCAAATGAAATGCATTTGAGATGGAGACAATAAGGAAGTAACAACAATTTCGAATGTGATTAATGTATATGTGTCATATGCATATTTATCATCATTTTGGTGGACATTTAAATATCGTATTGTAATTGCGAAACTGACCTACTGTTAACAAACATTTCTGGTATTTTGCCCCAATAATCAAAGAATTGCAATTGAAATTCTAACCATAAAAGAAATTTAATAATATTTATATTGCAATAATCATACAAAATTAGAATGTCCTAATCATTTTTTATTTAATAATTAATAACATTTCGGTATTAAAACTGGAAAAGAAAAACGTTGTTGTGCTTTGAATTACGATATAATTAATCAACTTTTTAATGCGCATGTTGCTATTACATTTATCAGTGTGCGGTTTGCTGCAAAATTATTATTTTTGTCGATGATTCGGTGATGTACATTTGTGCTTTTTAAAAACGTCAACACGGAAGAATGCAATGTATTCTGAATGCACACAAAATCGATGTTAGGAACGTTGCAATGAAGATGATTCAGGGAAAGACAGTTTGTCCAAGGATATTCTCTTTGTGTTTCTTTCCTTGGAATGGGACAACAAGCGGATGCGATGAGGTGGTAGATCGATGCGAAGATCGGAAAAAGATAGACGCATTTCGTGTGTGGCGCTCCAATTTCAATCCAATAAAGGATCAATGATGTATATATATATGTATGTATGTGTGTGTGTATAGTAAAAGGACATTCACACAATCGAATTTTTGAATATTTCATGTGAGCTACAGTTTGCGCGCACTTGCGGTTTGTTCACCTCGCATTTCCCACCTATTTCTTCGTGATCTCACCAATCGCGTCGACGAAATTAACAATTACACGTAATTACTATTAGGAAATGTGTGTAATTTGATATCTAACTTATTAATTGTTGGTTTGTTTTACAGATTTGCAATTAGTGAAATTGCACGATGATGAAAGAGTGGAAGAAAGGTGATGATGTTGTGTGTGTGTGTGTGTGCAACGCGTTCCTTTTTGTGTTTTTTTTTTCTTTTGAAATTTTCGAAGCAAGGTTTCCCCTCGATCTTTTCCTTATCCGTACGTCGGACACCTTTCCATAAATGGTCGTAACATTGAAAAGTCCATCTTCTTGCGACCTCCGTATTCATTCTAACTCACCCTCCGCAATAGCTTGTTGTTCTGTTTTTTAGTTTTTTGTAAGTTGTTGTTGCGAGAGGCATAAATCACGCTTGCAAAAATTTGCGCAAAACACAAGATGCGGAAGCGTTCGAAACCGGTTCGAAGTATAACTAATGCACGGTGTCGAAGGACGAGACAATTCAATAGGTCAAGAATCATTGGATTTTAACGAATTTTAATTGAATGATTGATTAATCTGAGCTTACAAATTCAAATTTACTGTTTGTTTTCCGAGATGCGTGTAAGTTTATTATATGCTTTTCGGCAACAGCTTCAAATAATAATCGTTCGTGTTTATTGTTTTTTTTTTGTTAATTACGTGTTTTTTTTTTCTTTGTTTCTGTTTGATTAATTGTGTATTTTATTATCTATTGTATTTAATTTGTTTTGTTTTTGGTATTGCAGTTATGGATGAAATGTTGGCAGACGTAGATATGAAACCATCGTTGGATTCAATCGACACGAAGCAGGTGACTGCTAAATGGATAAAGGAGTATCTGGACGGAGTTCTGTCCCTGAACCATTTCCAGGACTACTGGAAACGATGGGTACCAAGACTGTACTCACCCACATTGAACGAGAGCTGCCTGAATTGGAGCTTCAACGAGGACGATACCAATCGCATAATGTTCACCCCATTGGAGGAGTTCATCTGCAACGGTGATCCGGCTGTAGTACTCGCAGCGATGACCCAGTTGGACAAACCGCCATCTGTATGCGGTCGCGTCTTCAAGCTTGGAGAACCCACGTACAGCTGCAGAGAGTGCGGCATGGACAATACGTGCGTCCTGTGCGTTAGCTGCTTCAAACAGTCGCAGCACAGGTTCCACAAATACAAGATGGGAACGAGCACGGGTGGCGGGTGTTGCGACTGCGGTGACAAAGAGGCATGGAAGAAGGCGCCCTTCTGCGACATCCACATCGCAGGCACGATCCGCGGGGATGCGGACGAGGCGGCGGTCGACGACGGGGGCGGAGGCATAGAGAGTACCACCACCACGCCCACAGCCACAGCTGCCGCCTCCGCCGACGACGCCTCCAAGGGTTTACCAGAACACATGGCAGAAAGGACGCGGATCGCATTCGATGCCGTCCTTTGGTATGCCTACAGTCTCCTCACCTCAGAGTATTCGGTCGAGTTCATCTCGCGTCTCCCCGATGAGAACATGCAAGAGAACGACTCTTACTGCACGATACTCTACAACGACGAAGTGCACACGTTCGAGCAGGTATTTGATGTGTTTAATACTTACTATTCAATTACCGTAGGATGACCAAAAAAAAAAACAGCAATTATTTAATGATTACTATGACCTTTACAAAATTGCTACCAATTATTTTTGGTCACCCGACGGAAGCCTAAAATATCTCAATATGTGATTGTAATTGTATTTTCTGATCGTGTGCAGGTTATAGGCACGATCAATCGTGTAATCAAGTGCAGCCAGCGGAATTCAATAGAGTACGTGACGAATATTGATAGGGAAGGAAGAGCGGTGGTGAAGTGTTCGGACATTCAGCATTGCAACGAAGTGAAAAGTCAGATCGAGAGTATAACTTCGAGGCACAGCAATAAACCTCTGAAGGTGATCGTCGTCCACTCGTACATAGTCGCCCACCAGATATTCGCTATGAAGCTGTTATCCTGGTTGCAGGCGTTTCTAGCGCACGGTGAGGCTTTCCGAGCGATCTTCACCGAGGTTGTGCTGCGTCCCCGATCTGGATATTCAATTCTTAAAGGAATTATGACTAGCGATTCGCAGCTGTGGAAGAGCGCTAGAACCCATTGGCATCGTCTCCTCATTTCAGGAATGCTGCTTGAGTATGAAAACAAGAAGGCGCTTGCGAAAGTCTTCACCAAGAACTACGGCAGCGTCATGAAGGATTACATCAAGGACGACCACGATCATTCGTTCTCGATCTCGTCTCTGGCAGTGCAGCTGTTTACCGTTCCGACACTCGCGCATCATTTGATAGCCAATGACGATGCTCTTTTCATATTGCTGAATACGTTCATATCCGAGTGCTCGCGTAAATGCAATGCCGTCGGTAAATTGGAGTTTGAAAAGAATGTCTCAATTGGTAACTTCAAAAGGGCGCAGTACATTCTGTACGATCTTCGCTACCTTCTCTCATCCATTCCTGACAAATGGACGGACGATATGCGACGGAGCTTCTTGCAGGGACTCTCGATCCTCCTCAATCTGATCACGATGATGCAGGGCATGGATCCTGTCACCAGACAGATAGGTCAGCATATGGAATACGAACCCGAATGGGAATCACCCTTCAATCTGCACATCAAACTGGCCTACTGTATATCGTTGGTACTGAAGTGGTGCGGCACCGATAAGGTCGTCCTTGTTAAGGCGTACAGACTGACCCTGAAGAAGCTGCAAGAAAATCCATGCTACGATCCTAACGAGCAAAAGGATCTCCGAGAACTCTGCAACTACAGTGTGATGTGCCTCAACTACGACGTATCCACTAAACCGGTGTCCATCCATTTAACACTCTCCAGGTTCCTGGCCGGTCTTCATCTGCATCTCGAGAAATTCGAGCTGTCATTTGACGGTCCCGAATTCGACATGCCAAAACCAAATCCGGTCCAGCTCATCGAACCCGTGCTTAGAACTCAAGTTATGATATCGCAAGTAATTATTATGCTCTTAGATGTAATGTTGTCTTATACTCAGGTCTCTTATACTTTCACTATTTTGCAGGTACATGCTGGAATGTGGAGACGTAATGGTTACGCTCTTTTGAACCAGCTATACTTCTATCATAACGTGAAATGCCGCACGGAGATGCTGGACAGGGACGTGACTCTGCTGCAAGTTGGCGCCTCCCTCATCGAGAGCAACGAATTTTTGATTCATCTTCTCAACAAATTTAACCTGATCAATTGGGCCAACTCCGGCTTCGAATCTGTAATATTACGCAACAGGGAGGACGACTCCACCAGGCAGACCATTTACTTGCTGGAGGAATTCCTGCAACTTTTGATCGTCATCATCGGCGAACGGTATATACCCGGTGTTAGCAACATAACCACCGAGGACAGGATTAAAAAGGAGATTATACAGCATCTGTGCATCAAACCACTGCCCCATTCGGAGTTGAACAAAACGATACCGGACGATTTGACGCACGAAACAGGTCTCGACGATGTGATCGAGGAGTTGGCCGTATTCAAAAAGCCCAACCAGACGTACGGCAAAGGTGTTTACGAACTTAAAAACATCTTCTTCAACGAATACAACGTATTTTACTACCACTATACGCGTGAGGAACTCTCCAAGTCGGAGGAGGAGCAGAGGAAAAGAAGGACCAATGCCGGAGAACTGGAATGTTGTCCTCCTCCGCAACTGCCCAAGTTAAATCCTTCGTTCAACATGATTGTGAATCTGCTGCAATGCGACGTTATGCTTTTCATAATGCAGACTGTGTTAACGCGCGCCAATAATTTACGCGCGATGAGCTTCTCCGAACCCCAAGTGCACAAGACGCTACATTTGATCGGGTACGCTTTGCAGGAGGAAGAATCCAAGAACTATCCGTTCTTGTTGTTCAGCGAGAAAGCTGTACGCTATAAGATACCCTCACTCGTCGAAGAACTGCTCTCTTGTCCACGAGTGGAGGCGCACAAGGCTTTGGTAAAGTGGGTGCTGAGAAAATTCAAGGATGTATTGAGGACAGACGAGTCCACGGCGTCAACGTCCAATACCACTGAGGTAACTGAAAAGAGACCGTTGGATAAGTCGGATGACGAAGAGAAGGAACGGAGGGCGAAGAAGGCGGCAGAGAGACGTGCAAGGATCATGGCCCAAATGACGGCCATGCAAAATAACTTCATCAAGGAGAACGCACAGATGTTCGAGGAGGCCACCTCGGAAATGAATCGAACAGAGACGACGAGCAGCATCAAGATGGACACATCATTGCCGATTGACGAAGAACCAACTGCCTTAGGGCCGAACCAGAGCACCAGGTTAAATGTGGAGAAACAGCTGGTGTGTATATTGTGTCAGGAGGAGCAGATGATCACCGCAGACGGACCGACCATGGTTTTGGCCGCGTTCGTCCATCAAGCTACCGTGCTCTGCCAGAATCGAGGTTACGAAGAAATTATGGACGTCTCCAAACAAGATCCTCTCTACTTGCACGCGAATCTCGGTCCGGCGCCACACACCAGCACCTGCGGACACGTAATGCACAGCGCCTGCTGGCAAAAGTACTTCGACAATGTCAGACTTAAGGAACACCGCCGTCCGTACCGTCTACGTCATCCGGCAAGCTTCGACGTAGATAAACAAGAGTTCTTGTGTCCTCTTTGCGAGTGCCTCAGTAATACCGTATTGCCGCTGGTGCCGTCGCTTTCCACGATTCAGACCAGCTACCCCAAGAACCGTATGGCCTTTGACGACTGGCTCTTCTGCATTCAGACGACCACCAGCAAGAAGCTGAAGGTTTGCCACGGCACCTTCAAATGTCAGGAGGACTGCAGTAACGCCCACTGCAACGCGTGCGAAAACGCTTCGAACAGCGGCACCGAACCGGACTCACCGATCGATTCTGATTCTGCCACCTGCACCATCCAGATGCACCAGGTCTACCAGTCCAGTTCGCACGAACATCTGAAGCAGGATTTCGGCGACAAAGCCGCAGATTTCTTGGCGCTCTTCCCGCCTCAGCATTCCGAGCTCAGTAGCAGCTTAAAAGAGATGATCCAGTTGTACACGCAGGTGACGTACACACGCGGCCTCAACTTGAACCCGCATCCGTCCGATCGTCGACTCGCCCCAATGGCCTGGAAATCGTGTTCATACACCATCCACTCCATCGAGACCATACTCAGAGAGTCGAAAAAACCGCTGCTAGGTTCTCTGTCGAGCAGGTAATAGTAGTATAAGTAAATACTAGTGAATAAGGTAAATTAATTAATGTTTTTTGTTTGTTGCAGGCAACGAGATTGCCTCGAGAGTTTGGTGAGGATAATGGGCGTGCTTGGACGAACGTGGCCTAGGAGCATCGTGATCAGTAGTCACGGTTTGAGGTTGCTGTCGATACTTTTGGAAGTGCCCGATAAGGGACCCTCGATCCTGCAATGGGATACCTTCGGATTTTTGATTCCACTCACCTTTTCACTGCCCAGTTTGTTCTCGTTGGACGAACCCGCGCCAATCCCGACTGGCGGAACACTCGAACTGCACACACTTCGTCTCATGTTCATTTCGCATATAGTGAAGATCCTGATTCAGATGGACATGAAGGAAGTCGCAGCAACCGGAATGGAAACAGAAGATGAGGACGAACAAGGAATGAACGGGGTCTTCGATGTTCTGAAACTGATGAGAAAGCAGGTGGAGAATGTATCGGGAAGGGCGGTGTGGTCACGCGTGCAAGAAGCCTGCATACCCTTCCTGCGATGCTGCGTTCTCTTCTACCACTTCCTCACTGATGTGCCTGCTCCATCCGCGTTGCTGGAGAGCGGCGGAGACACCTTCGAGACGATGTGCGCCTACCTGGATCTGGCGAGGGAACCAAATCAGCTCTTCGGATCGGCACGCGTCCTCGAGATGGTGGAACGCTGGATCAGGCACGAAGACGTCCAGATGTATCTTCTCGATAAAACATCCGTATTCGCGGTGAAAGAACCGCTCAAGCTGAACCACCTGGTGGAACTGCCGCAGGACTACAGCGAACTAATCAACACGGTGTCCTCGTTCACCTGTCCCAACAGCGATCACGAGGACTCGAGGAATCCAACGATGTGTCTGGTGTGCGGTGAAGTCCTCTGCTCTCAGAGCTACTGCTGCCAGACGGAGTTGAACAAGGTCATCATAGGGGCGTGCAACTACCACGCGCACCGATGCGGAGCCGGCGTGGGCATCTTCCTCAGGGTCCGAGAATGCGAGGTCATGTTCCTCGCTAGTCCCCATCGCGGCTGCTACGTGTCCCCTCCTTACCTTGACAATTACGGCGAGACGGACCAGGGTCTTCGCCGCGGCAATCCGCTGCACCTCTGCCAGGAGCGCTACAAGAAACTCCAAACGCAGTGGCTCAGCCACAGCATACACGAGGAGATCGCCAGGTATATCGAGTCCAGCAACAATATTGTACCTGCGCAATGGCAGCATTTATAAATTTACAACACGCACGTGTATTGAAGAGTCGTATACAATTATTAGACGAATTCAGACAAAAAAAAATACTTCTGCTACTTTCTATATATATATACATATATATATATAATTCACTTCACCTAACTACAACTACTAATACTAACTGTTCTCTGTTTTTGATTATTTTTCGAAAAGAAAAAACAAAAAAAAAAACAAACAATTGATTAAAACAAATTATGACGATTCGAAAACCGAAATTACTTTACTCACTCACACTCTGCTCTGCTGCCGTTGTAGTTGTTGTTTTTTTTTTATCTGCTACCCTGTAAATTTTTGTGATTTACATTTATTTTCTAAATTAAATGAAATGATTAAATGCGTACGTACGTTTTGTACTTTCACTATATTTCACTATATATACTCGACACGCAATGACACTTCTTCAAATAACAAAAACAAAATTTAAATTGGTTACCTAGCAACAGGAGCAGTTACATATGGCAGTTTTGTAACTAGAGCAAAATATAGTTATAGATATATACTTACATACGAACACATACGCTATGTTTGTTCTTTTCGTTTGTTTCATTCTTCCTTTTTTTTTAATGTACATATTATAATTATTATTATTATTATTATATAACTTTATTGTGTATTTAAGTATTTTTATTACGGATCTTTCTTAAAATTGTTGAATAAAAAAAAGAAGAAGAAGAAATGTTTAAAAAATAGAAACAAAATTATAAGTAATAATAATAATAGTGCGCATCGGATTTCAACGGATACTTAAATATTTTTTATTGAATTTAACAAGATAAAAACCCGGTAATAAATGAATTAATAATACATGCTGTTACATACTATAAATATATATATCTTATTATATGCAACTCTCTCTATATAAATATATATTTATTAAGTGAGTGCTTGAGGACTGATTTGACTGATGGTCGAAAGGGATGGATGTATGAATTTGATGATTATATTGTGTGTGAATGGGAGTGCGCGTTCTTGGGAAATATTCATGATTTAGTACGTAATATAAATACATACATTTATGATCTGTTATTATGCAATAAACGACAACAAAAACTTAAAAACACCAAAAACCAAACGAAACACTTATTTATTTTTTTTTTAAATTTTTGTGAATACCATTTTCTTTTTTTGTTTCCACACGCACGCACTCGTCGATCGTAAATGCACGACGCCTTTTCCATCGTCGTTATGGTGACAGAAAACAATCCAACTTGATTGAAAAGAGAAGCCAACGATAACGGTGGAACAAAAGAAATAGTGTTGTGAAAGCAGCGAAGCTTCGTTAGCGATATTGCCTAGACAACAACAGTTTTTTTCTCTCTCTCCTTCACTTTCGATGGAAAATAAATGCGAAATTTGAAAGAAGTTAATCGTTTACTTATTTTAGCTATTAAATCCTTTCAACATTATTATTTTTTTATCCATCCATCCATCCAGGAATTTTCGTTAAATCACGTAGCTTAACTTTTGTTAAGAAAAAAACGTGAAAACTCATCGAAAGAGTGATTTTGAAGAAAATCCAATTCATATTTTTTTTATACTTCTACAGCTCGTAGCGGGCGACTTGATTGCAACACGAAGATGTCAATAGGCTCGTTGAAAAGGTGAGGTATTCAGCTTTCAATTGAGTGATAGATCATGTAATTATCTTAAGAGGATGTCGAGAAATTCACGAAAAATGAAAAAAAAAACGTTGTTTCTCTGTTACGTAATGCACATTACGTAACTTTTCTTACATAAAAAGTTGCGCAACGCTTGCATGCATCTGATTATGCAATAAAATCATAAAAAAGTTTATTACTTTTCGAGTTATTAACGAAAAACTATTTTTTGACAAATCCAATACACTTTTTTTTTACTAATTTCTACAGCTCATAGCAGGCGACGCGGCGGCAATACGAAAATGCCAGAATGCTCGTTGGAAAGGTGAGATATTCAGCTTTCATACGAGTGGTCGATGATGTAATTATCTTAAGAGGTTGCCGAGAAATTCACGAAAAACTGAAAGAATATCGCAAAAATCGTCTATTCCCTGTTACGTAACGAACATTACGTAACTTTTGCTTCATACAAAGTTGCGTAAGGGTGGCCCATCTTAATGACCCGGCGCATCCGCCACGAATAGTAAAGTGTTTTAAGCATCTTTCGGTTGTCTGCAATTGCATTAGGAAATTGATGTTGTTTTGCGCAACTGTTGCATCCAATCCAATTACTTTCCAGAAATAGAATGACGTAATTCGATCACGAAATGTATACAACCAGAGAAACAACAGTTACGTAAACTGAATCAAAATGATGTCGCCATATGCATAGCTTTTGTTTTATTAAATTATTTTTTTTAGTAATTTGGACGAACATTGGACGTCCCGGCGCATCCACCATTTCTCCGACAGAAGTGTTTCGAAAATTAATTAGTTTCATGATTTAGAAGATTGATTAACAATATGAATTCTTTGATTTGAGGACGAATGGAAAGGGTTAATGAACGATTACAATTATTGTGCAATATTTATTTGAAGTGAACCAGTTTCTACAAACTACAGTTTGACAATATTCATTTATTTTTGGCTATGACACATCGATTTCAATTTGGGATTGATTACACAAGCGTTTGTTTTTTTTTTAAACAAATGAAACTACGCGTGATTGTTGGGCTTTGCTTACATAAACAAGAAAGAAAAAAAACGAAATTAAAGTTAAAAATTTTGCAATTACTTACAATACATATATACTACAATTCAAATGGAAAATTCTAATCATATACACAATTTTCGTAAAAAAATATTGTCTCGAGAAAATGCATCCTCTTTGATTTTTTTTCCTTAACAACTATAACATTATAAATTATTGATTTAACAGTTAACTGAGATAAATATCTACAAAATGGAATTTGGTAACAAAATGTATACTATTTACATATATCAAAAACACGTTAATAAAATATAATTTTCTTCTTATTTGCAATCGCCTCGAATTCTCTTCAATTATTGTATAGGGTACACATATATAAATTAGATGGATGATTCTAAGTGAATGTAGCGGGGAGGAAAAACACTGAGAGCTTCGGGGGCCCACGACAAAACTTATAATTGTAATATCAACAACAAAAAAAAAAGTAAAAACATAATTGAATGAACGTCGTTTAACTAATTAACGTTTGTATGTTTGTATTAATTAGTTGAACGCAGTGAACTGAACCCCTTGTGCTACGACCCTGAATGCGGATTACAGAAGATCGATATTCCAATTAGGATTGGACCATAATTATATATTCAATTTCAAAAGCATTATACGTCTCGAATTAATCGATATTGTACGTTCATTATTAGTTCTTTGATCATTTATAAAAAAAAATATTTAAAAAAAATTTCAAATGATTGAACTGGAAAATTCCTGAGTTTCACCCTTTAAATCGACCGACTTTTGTTTGTTGTATATCTTTGTACTTTCTGCTTCATCGGCGCGAAGAAATTACCTGAAATTTGGTTGTACTGTAAATTACGAGTGTGCGTGTCGACGCACGTAAAGTGTTTCGATATCAAAGATTACCGTTCAATTGTAAAAAAAAAACTGAAGAATGACGAAGAGATAGATAAAATCGCATCTGAAAATCGTTGATGACAGTTGAGACAATCCGTGATTAGCACCAAATCCCTATTAGTGACAGTTTAAAATGTCAAAATGACAGATATGTTTCGAGGTGTTGTCAGAATTATAGTATCAATTTTGGTTTTTTCTATTATAATTTGGAGATTGTAGGATTTGATGCTGATATCAGAGGTGTCCGATCAGCCACTGGACGCTACGCACTACTAGTTTATGTGGTCCATAATTCAGCTGCATTGAATCGTGAAATTATATCAAAAAAAAAGATATATATTTGAATGTTGATTTTGGCAACGCCGATGAGGAGGACTCCTGCGGAATGTGCGCAGCTTATGTGTGTGTGTGTTTGTATATTTAACATACGCAATTGGCCAATTCGTCCTCCATGGGGCGTTCCTGCAAGATGACGCAGTCCGAAATGCGAATGTTGCGCTCGTGCAGAAGCTTGTGGGCGATCGTCCTGAAGATGGTCTCGATGTTCTCCACCTCAGACTCCAACTTAGCAGACGTCTCGAACAGCTGAAGAAAGAAGGAAAGAAACGAACGAATCATTAAAGAAAGGAGTTGTGATCAGTTTCATGCTGGTACCGGCATCTCGTTGTCATCGGCGAAACGCTGAGCCTCGGATTTGCTGACAGCTCGGACCGCCCCTTCTTCGCACTTGTTGCCCACCATCACCTTGACGATGTCGCTGCTCGCGAAACGACCGCACTCTGTCAACCAGTACTGGAGATTGTCAAAGGACTGCCTGTTGGTGACGTCGTACATGATGACCACGGCGTGCGCCTTCCTGTAGTAGCTCTGCACCATCGAATCGTGTCTCTCCATTCCGGCAGTATCCCAGATCTGCAGCTGCAAACAAACGAACAACAAAAAAAAAACAATCGATTGATCCATCAGATTGACATTGACATTTCTATTGAAGCGATCCCGGCGCATCCACCAATATTCAAATCTAATTGGTTTATCGTCATTCAATTACTAAACACATCATCAATAATTTGTCGATAATCAAAAAAAACACACATTATTTCGAATATCAACAATAAAGATTTCATGAAATTAAACAAAAATAAATATTTATTTATTTTAATCGCATCAATATTTGTAACCAATGAGATATCAATATCTGTTGCCAGGGAGAATCGACAATAGAAGACCACTCCCAGTTTATAATAAGCCATTAAATGAAATCAATCACTTTTTTTTTACTCATTTTGTTTCTTATATATAAAGTTACCATAGTAATTCAGAAATTATTACTTTCGTTTGTTATGAATTTGTTTAAAATTGACACATTTAAAACAAAAGAGATTTATATCAATTTATGATCTCTTTTGAATAGGGCCTTTCAGGTTTATCGTCCCCTACAAATTTTTGGGAATCGAACCAACGACCTTTTGTATCAGATTTTCGTGATACAGGCCACAATTGAAACACTTTATATAATCGATGAAATCTGTATTTTTGAAATAATAAATTAACTTCGCTTCGCTTCTTTTTAACATTTTTTCATTATTTTAGTTTTAAATACTTTAAAATTTCTTCATTAACTGTAAAACTAATAAGTTATGCTTTATTGTGTATCTATGTATTGTTTCTGGAATGTGTGATTTAGTTTTCTTTTAAATATTCTTTGATTTAAAAAGTTGTTGTAACTTCGTTTTGGATGAAAATAAGAGATGGCATACTTTTGAATCGTCTGATGATGCTGAAATATTTTGAAATTATATATATTTTGAATGGTTACCGTGACCAGTTGATCATCGAGCAGGATCATCTTCAGGCGAAGATCGACGCCGACGGTGATGATGGAGTGACCGAGCGGAAGACCCTCGCAGAAGCGGTAGGTCAGGGACGTCTTGCCGACGTTGGGATCGCCGACGACGATGACTTTGTATCCGATGCGATCGGTCATCGTTTGGTCGGAAGAATAGTTAAACCGGAAGTAAGAACCTCCGCTTCAGTCGCAATCGGAAGGAAGAGTGAACTTGCCGCCACCGGCGAACCAAACCTCCAACTCCCACACCACCGCCACCAATCGATACATCGATTTTCAGCGGGGGCGGCCGGGTCCGGTCCACAAGCGCACCTCCAGCATCCAAGATCAAGTTCACACTTTGGGTTCGGATGGAATCCGGAGAGGCACGAGACACGATGGTGTTCGTGCAAATCTGCATGTATTCCTGCGACCGCCCACGCACCCTAAATGTCAGGGGTGACGTGCAAAATAAAAGCACACACACACACAGATCGCATCACCTATGCGCATGCCATATTCGGATTGATTTGCTGCTGTCTCTCTGGTGCAACAGTTGAATTGAGAAAAAAAAAACAAGAAACGAACGGATTGCCGGAAACAAGGAAACAAACAAAAATCAAATGCATTTCTATGGAAACACCTATTTATAGTTTGGAAATTTGATACGTCTCAACGATATGCGTACTCGCCAAAACAATTATTGGACATTCAATAGAAACTTCTCAAAACACCACGAACAGCAATTACTATTTTTTGACGTGCTTTTACTTATTTATAAGAAAGAAATAGAAATATTATCAATGTAATTTCATCAAATATATACAAAGTTTCATAATACACATAATTTTCGGGTTAGGTTAGGTCAGAGGTTAGGTTAGGTTAGGTTAGGTTAGGTTAGGTTAGGTTAGGTTAG